TTACCAATTCTCGAGGACTTAATCGGAGCTCATGATGACGCTGGAACAGCTAACTTGACACAATCCACAGCGCATAAGTGGACGGGACCCGAACAGCCACCTCTTTCGAACTAAGCAAGTTCCACCCAAGGTGTCGGTAATCATTAGCACAGAAAATGGCGCTCTGCACGCTCGTAGACAATTTCAGAGCTGCCACTTGTAGGTTGCGCTTGTTGTGAAAGTGTGTATGCTGTATAGCTATGAGCAGTAATCATAGCCTTCCCTCAGCGTCTGGCATCTTATGAAGAAAGATGTCATTCCGTATCAATTTGAAGGTCAGAATGGTGTGCCTGTACACCGCAATCAGATTCCCGGTATTAGTTCTTCGTAAAATTTCAAGAATTAAAAAGCAAGTCCGAGAAGAGCGAAGGTATTATCGACGTCGCGACTGAATTTAAGACTTGCAACCAGCCCTTTACGAGATTGCATACAACTCAGAGCTCTCCCAAACACTCCTTTCATAAGTTTCCATGGAGAACTCTTAATATCACCATTTTCACCGATTTCAGGAAGCTTCACGTCTGCAGACTTCCTCGCTTCCTTCGACACGGATGCACTATTCTCCATCAACACATAACAAGGTTTTCGACATAAACAGGCATTCGCTGCCCCGACGAATATACTTTCATCTGTGAATTGCTCGAAAATTCGTGGCTTTCGATGTTTCTGGAAAGGCCTACAATTGGAGCTTGTGACAATTATTGATCAAAGTTCGCACACAACACCAGATTTTAAACACAATGTTTTTCATCTTCATTTTTTGGAAAAGTCGCATTAGCCTGTTCTGTCAAAAGATACGCACAACCTATTTTCTCGCGTCCTTTTATAATATTTTCGCTTGGTATAACTGCTCTTTTACATAATGCTTTTATTTTCTAGGTCATGGCTGATGGGAACCACTGTCGTAATTCGAAAAAGGTCAAATTTTTGAAAATCAGAGGCAAGGCAAGGATACGACGGATCCTAGGAGAAGCATCGAACCCGCGGAAGTCATGCGAGTAAATCGAGTGTTCTCTCGAAATCGATGTTTCAACTGTTGCAATATATCGGGCATCAAATTCCAAGTCCAACCTTCTCAAATAGGAGGAAAACGCGTTCATGACGAAGAATCATCAGGGAAAAAGGGGTGGATTTCGTACCATCTGACTGCAGAAAGCGGTTGGTTTCTCATGTATCTCTCTCTAGATTGTGTTTTCCGATGAAAAAGGTAAACTGTGACGGACAGGACAGCAATCGATACTACTGTTACGACCTTAGCAGGAGAATATTTCTTTTCAGCACGGAAGTCCAAGAGGCAGGGCGTGATGATTCGGGCCACATTTACCTTGAAAAGGCGACAGAAATTATGCTTTGTATCAAAAAATATGACTTCCTACTTGTGTCAAGCTTCTATGAGGCACAGAGCCTTCTTCCCTTTTGGGGCCAGAATCGGCGGCGAAACTTTATTCTTATGTGAAATAACGCTCGATACATGTCAGCAAAAGCGCCTGACATGGAGAAGGCCTATCAAATCGCCCTTTTGACCGGGGGTGAATCCTGACCTCAATCCAATGGAAAGCGTATGCAGTTCATGGTGAGAAATATGTACATGAATAACCATTCTCGAGGCGTCGAGGAGCTCAAAGAAGCACAGCACTAAAATAATCAAAGCTCACCGACAATCTTTTGCAAGCACGGACGACCACATCTTCCAACTCATTCGGAGGAATGGAGGGTCAATAGATTATTGAGTTCGTGGTTTGTCATTTTTGTTGATCTCTCAATGTTTAACTTATTGTTTTTTTGTGGAGGTATCTTTTTCCGAAGTAGGCCTGGGAGACTTTTTCAAAAAATAAAGATTAAAAACATAGCACTCTCCTACTTGGAATTTCATGTCGTATGCAAAGTTCGTTTAATACTTGTCACAACTTTCATTTAGGGACTTCTCCAGAAACAGTAAGGGTTGCAGTTTTAGGGCCATTCATGGGTTCACATATAATATTTACGCGCCGCAGTGAACGGGGGAACAATGCATAAAACTTCTGTGTAAAACGAAAGCAATATTAGTGGTAATGGGCAAACATAATCCGCGCGCCAATTTCAAAATTAAGGGGTTCATTAAAATTAGTCATGAGTCCCCTGCACTAGAACAGAATTTGCACTTTTTTCATTCCGACTGGATGATTCTTCTAAGGCTGTGATAATCGTAATGGCACGTCGAAGGCAGAATTGTTAGGGGTAGGGAATACCTAACATTCAACAATTCAGTCTCCGATTCCACAGGTATGCCAGTACCTGTCTGAAAGTGAGGTTATCCCTCATCTGTCTACCGAAATGAAAAGTGGATGCTCTTCAACTAACATACAGCTACCTATCTGAATTTTCTGTAGTGCACTTCTGCTTTGAATCCTTTTTTTTTTCTCCTGCACACCTGACTGGAGATGTTCCTTCCTTTTGTTTTAAACCATGTTTTACTTTCATTTAATTTTGCATAAATAAAACCCACCTCACCAAAAAAAACTCGAGCAGAACCCGGCATGAATTAAAATTTATTCATAAGGGTACAAACTGAGTTTTCTCGCTTGCCCTTCTGTAACATCGATTTCAATTCGATTCAAAAGCAATCGTTCTAATCCAGGAAGTTTTGTGCCTACCATATTTCAGAGGGCGAAAATTTCCGTCGGCGCACTTATTGGTTACTGTGCTACTGAATTTACGGAACGCAGTATAGTGGTAAAATCTTACACCTCAAATCTTACAGAATCCATTCAGGCGCAGGGCGCTCCAAGGGACTAGATTAAAATCGACATGTGAAAACAATACAGATCTCTTTTTATCATCAGCATAATTCATATCACTCAGAATACTCGTACATGATCCAATGTCATAAAATAAATATCACAAATTAGATGAAAAAGGCACAAACGGCAAATGATGCTAATGAACCGAGCCGAATCGTAGAGGCATACTATGATTGTTCATTAGCTAAAAATACTAGAAGGACTGCATCGACTCTTGTGTAAATGGTTGCCTTGCTTTCAGCTGCCATCTCTTCGTTCTGCGGGTGAAAGTGAGTTTCCTCCGACAAAAAAGTAACCATCACAGAAGGCGCAAATGTTTTTCCATTTGCGTGGAAGCTTCAGAGGATGACAAGAATTCAGAATCATAAAAGAAGGTTATACAAGGAATAAATACATACAAATGTCTCCAAGTTGCAGCTGCAGCCCGCCGCATGAAAAAGGTACAAACACATCAATCAATAAAAAAGAGGAAGGGAAAGAAAGGAGTATGAACGGATTCTATGGGAGTTTTTGCAGTAAGCTCTGTTCCTCCCTCTGTCAACAGCACTCGAACGTGAGCTCTAAACCCATCCTTGCTATCAATATTCCTCGTCTTTGATGGAGCGAATAGCTGAGGTCAGTACCTTGGATACGCAAGAAAATGCCCAGAGGTTGACATACTCGCGAATGTGTTGTTGATGATGAGTATAGCACAAAATCTTTGTTGTTCCAAAGTCTTGTGTCGCGGGGAGTAAATCCTACGATCGGTGTCAAGCTTGTGAGGAATATATGGACAAGAATGATCATTTACGACTACTTCATGAGGAGGAGCCGCTCTCATGGTTTTAAAAGCAGGACCATATGCAGCTCGCCTCCGTCTGTCTGCCTGTTTGTTTGTCTGTCTGACTGACTGTCTGTCCGTCTGTCTGTCTGTCTGTCTGTCTGTCTGTCTGTCTGTCTCTCTGTCTGTCCTTCGGTCTGTCTGTCTGTCTGCCTGCTTGTCTATTTGTTCGTTTGATTGTGCGGAATTCGATTTTACCCGAAGAAGCACCCGGAGAAGTCGGGTCAGGTTTGGGATGGGTTGGGCATAATTTGACCAACAAGTGTGAGCTCGGCGAACCTCTGCTCACAGGGTGCGGGACATGCAGAGAAGTGGGCGATGTCATGGACAAAATTTTTAAGCACGCTTTATGACAGCTCCGACGCTGGAAAAAAATGAGCAAAGATGAGGGATGAGTCAGCAAGTGTAATGGAGAATACAAACCAACGGCGGGCGGAGCGTTCTAGCAGTGGGTGGCGCTTTCCACACAAGTTCATAATTCGACTCAACGGAGGCGTACAGGCCAGAAAAAACAAAAGAAGTGAGCAAGGCATCATGCAAGCAGAAGCACAGGGGAGCTCCGACCACAATGGACTGAGTTATGATCAAAGATTCAATACTTCGTTCAGATATGTTCTAAAACGCAGTCAGAAATAATGAAAGAAATGCGGATAAACCCCTGAAGCGGACCGGGTTGTACGAGGTTGGGCGCGGCCAAGAACCAAAATGAAGTCGGGTTAGTTTCGGGATGGCTGGGACTGCGGGCAAGAGTAAAAGAGCACATGTGAGCTCGGGAAAGCTCCGCTACCAAGAGATGGAACATTCACAGGAACAAGGGGCGCGATGAGCAAAGATTTTATTTTTCTGCTCCAAAAAGACCGCCATGAAGATTAGGATGATTCAGACAGAGAAGACTGATCCGCGGCGATCTGAGCATTCCCAAACTTTGTGCATGAACTCATAACCCACCATAGCCAGACTCTCAAATACTCTTGTGACACCGAAATAGTGCGGAAACCAACTGGTGAATTTGTAAGGAGAATGTGTTTGAAATAGCTGTGAACTCTTCTCCACTCCCTTCAAGATGATCGAGTCGATTGCAAGAACGAAGTAATAAAACAAGAATCATGTTGAAGAAAATATAGAGGTAGCAGTGACAAGGCTCTAATCTTCAATGGAAAAGACAAGCATCTTTCCCATAACTCGTATCATATACGTCCAGTCCTATGAAATTAGTAATATGAGCAGAACAATAGATCGAGTGAAGATTTAGGCATACAACGAAATGAATGAGCTGCATGAGAAAGTAAGAACTCAAGCAACAAAGAAGTTCAATCAAGTTTTGCAACTGAGCCATATTTAGTGAGGAACTCATATTCAATTTAACAAGATTCCTGAATCGTATCCACTCGACTATAGTTGAGGTGAGCGTAGATGAGCACGCCGATGTCTCTGTGGCCGTTTTCAACAGCTATGGAGAGCGCAGTGGAGCTATCCTGTTAAAAAACCACTTTCAAAAAGGAAAGAACAGTGAGTGATGGCGGAATCTTAGATTAGGTATGTGGTCATGGACAGAGACTTAGAAGGACATAACAAACAGTAACAGGAAGCAGTCGCAAGAGAATGACGACGTGAAGTGAACTTGAGTAAGCTAGTGATTAAGACTCATGGAGTGTGACTAGAAGGATGTCGCTGCACAAGCGGAATATCCGCTGTCAAACGCTGTGTGAGATAAGTAGCGGACGAGACTGTCTAGTGCTTCCGGGTCCGAAATCTTCTCCCCGAAAATGGCGTCGCGCACGCTGCACCCGCCGCGTATCGCAGGATTGCGATGGAATATTGGAACGCGCAATTTGTGAGGTAGGGGGTCCTTTATTTATTCGAATTGGCTGGCCGCTCTCTTCAGTTCCAATGCGGTCTCGATCGTCGCTAATATANAAGGCATAAACGAAAAATCGAGGCGTCCTATCGATTGGCGGGGAGGCGGGGTGAGTACGGTAATTGCAGTGACATTTGCCGCATGCCGCAAGGGAGAATGCCGCGATAGGGGAGAAGTTTCCTTACCCGTAGAGTGAGTACTGTGGACTAAAGAAGGTAGTGTAGAGTGAAGTGGATATTTCGAAACTTGTAAACTGTATATGTATATATTTCGGAACTTCGACTTGTACTGCATCGTGCTATATACATATGTCCATCCAAAAATCGGAGGTGACAATGTAGCGGGAGACCTCCGCTTCTTTTTAAACATTGAGTGCTAGAGCACAGATAAAGAGCCTAAAATTGTGCTCAGGAGCTCCTTAGCCGGAATATACGTAGTTCTGACCTAGGCTTCAGAAGGGAAGGAGCACAGGGGTAGGTGAGTCAATAGAATATTCAACTCATACACCATCCTAGCTTATTGTACGAGGTAACCATCCTACCCCTACCACGGCGCTCCTCTCCTCCTGAGGCTTAGTTGAAAACTAATAGGGTGATGCATATTTATTGCGGATTTTTTCGCGGCTTCTTTTCTCTCGATATAATTTGATTATTGAATTCGGAATTTGATAAAAAATATTCTTCTTTCTTACTTTAACAGAATTATGTCTAGAAAGTCATCTTAATATACCCCACATTATGCCCTATTACTTCGAGGAAGGATGGAAGCTGGCACACTCATGACGTGATCTCGACAAACTTCTTGGCGATAGATCAGTCAGCCAAAGCCGAACAAGGGGAGGAGTCTGCTTCTACGTTCGCCTCAATCGCCTATTGAAAAATTGGCTAACGAACAGAATTTTCAACAAATGGATGACTTGACGGCCGTGGTCAAGGCGTGGATCGCCTCTAGGAATCGAAACTTCTTCGTCTGTGGAATCCGACTGCATAGCAAACGGGAAGCAATGCTTGACGTAGATGGTTTATATGTTCCGGAGTAATTATTTGAACATGTTTTTGCTGAATATTTCTATCGTAGCTGGAAAAAATCCGCAGTAATTATGCATCAACCTAATATACTCTTCCGCCCAGAATGGTCCCTAAGTACTGGCGAGACAGCTACCACTTCTTCTCTGCACTATAGCCCTCAGAATTGGATAAAAGCCATGCCCCCTTTCCTAAATACATTTTCTAACTCCTTGGTAAAAGTGAAGAATGAGGCCAGCGTAAGCCGGGCGACCCGATTGATAGATAAATGAATGAAATGAATGCAATGAATCAGTTGCTACTTTGCTACTCCTAACAGAAGTACTCACACAGTCTGTCAAAGCGGCATCAATTCCCGGTTGTCCAAGGAGCAGCTTGACAATGTCCTTATGACCATGTTCTGCAGCACACATGAGAGCTGTAGAACCTTCTTCATCCTAAATCAAACGGATTCGGTAGTACGGGGCGAGATATCTTGCGATGTTGGAAGTCCCAACACATTAACGATTCACAACCATTCTCAGCTAGTTGTCTTCCTGCACGCCACGACTCGGCAACAAGTACCAGTCGGTTTGCTACCGTCATCCTGCCCTGGACTCCCAACAGTCGCCTACTTCCAACCCAGTACCTGAAGATTCACGTCGGCACCACAGGCTAGCAGCAATTCTGTAGTAGCTTTTTTCCCGTGAGACACTGACAGCATCAATGCTGTTTGTCCATGTTGCTGCGCACGTGCATTGACATCACCCAGTTCGAAGAGCCTCAAATTTGAATAGATTATACAAGCTTCGACGAAATTCTTCAAACTACCTCTGAACAACTGCCTTCTCCACATCGTTTTCTAACGAGCTCAGTGCCGCCAGCATCACTGCAGAATAGCCCGCTCGATTCGCCAAATTCAACTTGCATTCGGCTGAATCCAATAAAGACGATACGACACCGAAGTTACCATGCGATACGGCATAGTGAAGCGCTGTGTTACCCTTAACTTGTTCTATTTATTAATACAGCAGTCTAAAAACTAGATAACACTGCACAACTCACGTTCTGATCTGTAATGTTGACGATGACCTTCAAAAGAGCTGGTGAGAGCTCTCTGATCTGTTTTATAAGAAGGTCGACGTCTTCTGGTTTACTGCCTTTGCGAGCTGTGCACTTCAGCCACTCATGTTGCACGTACTTCAAAGCCCAATCCTGACAAGTGAGCTGTTATTGTGTGAAGCGGCAAAATGGCGTTCCCGACCTCTCATTAATTTGAAAAATCGTCAAGGTCATTGCATATTGCATAACAGCTATGCGTGCATGTATGACGTTCTTACTGGAAGCCCCTCGATCCTCTTTCGTAAACGTTATCACCAAAAAGTTTTTTTCCACTTAACCACAACCCGTCTTGAATTGGTGTATTTTCAGACGACGAAGCCTGGCCACAGTTAAGAAGACATCTAAGCTTTCATCAGCAGACATGAATTATTGAAGAAAGATCGTATCCCTTCAGGTGCAGTAGCCGACCACTTCATAATATGGTGAGAAATCTCACCGCTGTTTCAGGCGTTATTGTTCCAGGCTGCAAAAGATGGGAGTTAAGACTCTCCATGGCTTCTCGCATCGGAATTGTGATTTCGTATGGCGACTCTGTAATAGTCATTGACGTGACACACGTCGTAGATATTCATGACATAGTTCACGAAGTTTTATAACGATCTATTTCATGCTTAACCTTCATAATCGACTCCATCTTCATGCGTGTCATAGCTTCCTTCGGAATCGTCCGAATCTTCATCGGAGTCACTGAAAAGAAGCATCGTTAATTCAATAGATAAATGGATCATCAAGTAAACGGATGTCAAATACGTACCTCCCATCTTTGTAAGGTGAGTAGGGCTGTTGTGCGTTCGACCGTGGCCATCTGTAAACGAGGAATTATTGATAGCAACATTAGGTATAAAAATAGTGTGCTACTTTCAAGCACTGAGATTTGATCTCGGCTTTTCACCTCCCAAGACTTCGCAGCTCACTTCTCAGCGGTGTTAACCGGTCGACAGCCTCTTCTTCTTCGTCAGGTGTCTCTGCATTTTCAGCCGGTGCTACGTACTTACTAACTTTCGGCCGTGGTATCCTAGCTGGCACCGGATCGGGAACAATCGACGGCGGTGATGGAATTTCCTGACGATGCAAAAGAGATATATATTTTTAGGTTATTAATGCTGCCGGTGAGAGTTGGGTTGTCTCATAAGTTAACAAGTGCACGCAGGAATCACCTTCTTGAGAACAACTTTGGTTTTCAGAGCATCTTTATTTTCGCGAGATGGTGTGGACGTCGGTGTTTGTGGACTTTCAGAGAATGCCTGAATTATAATGGAGAACTTAATTAGAGAACTCATGCAGTTTCCACTGAGAGGTTATAAGAAGATATGAGCATTATTGGAATTTTGGTTGACCCTGTTCTTTGTAGTGATGTATTCGAGATCATCGCCCGTGACTCTTTCCATCCGAGCACTGCGTGAGACTGCCGTTCCACGCACAAATGGCTGCTTCTGCTCGGACGTTAGCAGTTTTTTCACGGCTTCGACCCGAGCTCGATCAAACTCTTTTGAACGACTATCATCTTTCTCGACCTGAAAAAGCCGCAGTTATTAAAGGATATCAACAACAGTCTTTCCAGAACCTCCGTTATCAACAACTAACAGGTGAGAGAGAAGGTAACTGCATCTCAAGTAGAGCGGAATACTCCTTGAAGAGAGCTACTCGTGTATACAAATGGCAAACAAGCATGGAGAAAGGGTTATCCGAGAGAAATCATTACGAAAGAAATTCTATCTTCTCTTTCAAACCTTGAAACCCGGCACATCGTTCTCGTCGACTTCTTCCGGTGTCGCCTTGTCACATTCGATGCAGACCTATAAGCTATGATGTTGACTTCGGTGGTAGTTTGCCAACAACAATCACGGTCACCAAGAATCAAAAGCACAGTTCACGATAAAAGTGGTGTCTGAGAAAACTCGCTCTGATGAATTTGTGCCGTTTCCTATACCAATGAATGCTATCAGATCCGTAAATGACCTAGAGAGATAAGTGTATTTATGTACGTGTTCATGTGTGTATGCATGTATGTGTGTTCGGCCGGGAATTCGCGATTCCTTTCCCCTTGGACCTAGACCGCTCAACTTTGGNTGGTAGTTTGCCAACAACAATCACGGCCACCAAGAATCAAAAGCACAGTTCACGATAAAAGTGGTGTCTGAGAAAACTCGCTCTGATGAATTTGTGCTGTTCCCTATACCAATGAGTGCTATCAGATCCGTAAATGACCTGGAGAGTTAAGTGTATTTATTTACGTGTTCATGTGTGTATGCATGTATGTGTGTTCGGCCGGGAATTCGCGATTCCTTTCCCCTTGGACCTAGACCGCTCAACTTTGGAAGTGATGCAAGCGAAAGAATAGGAACACTGAGGTACGAAGGTATAACCATTGATATTAGCTGATGGAGATTAGAATGCAACAACCAGTGGGTCCGTGAAGCCCTTCATCTTTAAGGTGAGACCTTGGCACTTCGGTAAGTGGTGGGGACTAAGAAGGGGCCGACGATGAGGATGGCAAGGGTTGATAGCAAGCAATAATGGCCGATTAGAAGTCGTAGAAGGCAAAGACTACTGATTCTGCATCGAGATCTGGACTTTCGTTCGTGTTTCCAGATGACTCTTTGGCATTTCGATAGTTAGTGTGGGATGAAAAGTGAACGTAGATACTCAAAGACAAAAAGTGAAAAAGGTTCCGAACTAATGAGGAGGTGTGGAAAACAATAGCTGAGTACTCGCTGTTGACGATGGAAATTTGGCACGTCGGAGGTGACGAAGTCGTATGAAAGACTATGGTGCCAGGAACTGATAGTAACTGACAAGAGCTAGTAAGTAGCTCGAAAAAAAAGGGAAAACCACTAGAGCCATTGCATTAATAATGGAGCTTTGCAGCTCGGCATGTGGTACGAACTATAGTGGGATTACAGATGGCCAATGAGCGGGACTGATAAAGCTGATAGAGGAGCCTAGAGAACAGGGGCCACTCAGTTGCTGACCCCTTTAATAATTACAATGCAGCCTTCAGTCTGACATGATTCATACAGTAAGATGGAATGGCAGAGAAGGTTGACAAAAGTGAGTTATAGGTGCAGTCATAGGGACCGATTGAAGGCACTACCATGTGAGGAAATGAGAATTTGGTTCAATTCTCGTGATCAAGGCTCGTGATCCAATAAAGATAGTTTCCTTTTTCAGTTCATTTGCGACAAAACCCATCTGACCGATGAGTTCGAACTCAAATTCGCCAAAGCTTCGGAGTTCGAGGCTGACGATTCAAAAGATATACACGAAAAAGACGAAGGATCACTGATAACGTGTCAGTCAAACTTCCAATGGCACATTATTGTTAAGATGAAGAGCAACAGATCAAGACTTCTCATCAAAGGCATAAGCATCGGCACATAGTGTAAACCACATACATGCTTTGCTCTGTTTACGCCCAGCTTTCCTCCGCTGGGTACTGTGTCAAAGTAATATCTGTGTCAAGTTACGTGTTTAGAAGTGTACCAGTTGCTTAAAAAAAGAGTTCATCACGACCTCGCCGTAGAAAGGAGGGAAGCTCAGCATCAGCCTGGCGATTCGACTGGTATAAATATACAAACCTTCAAGCGAAAGGCTAGAACAATTTTGCAAAAATAGTGAGGTTGGGAAACAGGCCGACTTCCATTCACAGTAGCCACAGTAGATCGAGGGCTCCTCACAGTGTCATCCACCTATCTTACGACGCCTTCCTATTGTGGAAGCTGCAGAAGCCCTACCCTGTCGTCCTCACGCGTAGGAAAAAGTATGTCCCTTATGGTACAACCAACCACTACGAGGGTTACCATGCCTGATGTCATGAAAAGTATGCATCGCATAAACAAAATTATGATAGGGATTACATGACCAACATGAGGGTCCGTCTTCAGAAGCGCGGATCACGACAGTTCTCTGTATCGTTCTTGAGTTAAATTACGAAGCTGTTGATGCAGAACAGTTCGTCAATGGCAAAGAAAAATAGATTACTTGCAGAACTTCTAAGCTAGGTCGCCTTAATTAAAAACGTTCACTTCTAGGGTTGTAGCGAGATAGCGAAAAGGAAAAAGGGTGTTCGGACAAAATTTTGCCCACTGCATGGTAAAGTGCGCAGCTACGAATAGATTTAGAGAATAGAGCATGTCTAAAAATGAAGTCGACATTGCATTGCGCGATGCGGTGCCCGTCTTCCCTAATATTTCCAGCACATTGGGCTGAGAAGGGTACAACGCCATTCACTTCACTTTCCATTTACCTTATCCGAGACTGAGCACGCGCCCACACCAACGTTCCTAGTGAATGCCTCTTCTCGCATTCTGCATCTTGAGCATTCGACCACCGTATCACCAATGACGTCATCAGAAGCGGTCGAATCCACAGTGGAATCTGAAGTTCATTCAATGGCAATTCATCGATACCTGTCGCCGAGTGAGGCCATCGATTAGCTACCCACCTGTTTCCGTCTGACATTCAGCGTCACTCGACGTGGCTGCTGCAGAGATTTTGGCGCTAGTACCCTCCAATTGTAGGATAACAGTGAAAGCAATGGGCCGAAAAAAATCGAAATCAAACTAACTTTCTGCTCCATCGCCTCCTCTGCGATAATCGTCTGGCTGGGAATGTTCCGATAATACTTTTTAACCGTCATAGTTTCTTGGTCAGTCATTAGGCGTTTTGGGGATAACTCATCCACGGCGTTAGCAACCTGTTGATTAACAGCTGGCACGAAAGAGTCATCCATGGCAGTCGACTGATTGATCATCTTGATGGATGGCGGTTCTTCAACTGGAAACTCATCAAAAACTCTCAAACATTGCTTTGCTATGGGTGATGGGCAACCATGAATAGCATGACAAATGGTGCTAATACTAGCGCTGATTTTTACCTGGATCAGTATTTACTCCAAAATTAGTTTTTTGAATAAGCTGGTCATCAATCTGCATGCCAATATCAGCAACACTTGCCTCAGTAGCTACACCCACTTCCGTTGTTGATGCAGAGCTGGTCTGACACTCCTGAAATATAGCAACGCTAAACTTTGATACCTGAGCATAAACTTCACTAAGAGCCACATACTGTGTTCTCCAGTTTCGCGCCGATCGCATCTACGCCGCATTCGACCGTGCTGCAGTGGTCTGTGCTCGTACCAATGCTGTGGCACTGTATGGATACCCTGGGTAACGCCTCTGGAGTAGGAACTTCATCCGTCAACGTACCAGTACAGAATAACTCAGGCTTGACTTCTGCTATATCCAGTCTGAAATGAATGACACTAGAAGGAAGCATTCTGATGAATGTTCTAAACTTAGAAAAAAATGCGGGTAAAAAAAAGGGCGGAAGTGGGTGCAAAACTTGATCAGATGATATCGATCGGTTGTTCAGGTGTGACGTATGAGTGATTTTCTACTTACTAGTTTTTAAGAAAGAGCGAGATATTGATGTGCAGCGAGGCACTACTTCACTAAGACGACAAATCGTCAAAAGGTAAGCTATGGCTAGGAGGTCCCAGATGAAGAACTTATTTGATTGTTGGAAGCAGCTGGAAAGACAGGACTCGGCAGAAATATCTATAGGCCAATTCCATAGGGAGTGGAGAGAGAAGGGGCCAATGCTACTGGAAGAAAGTGGCAACGTATACATCTATACATGAATTGCCTGCTGCATTAAAGATTAGCGCCCTTTGCGCACATTCGGCACGATCCTTTTATGATTGGAGGCAAAATAGTTTCTTAAGCTCTGTTTTGAGAAATGTTAATTCGACTTCATCACAAATTATGGAGAGTTTTTGGTCTCGAAGGAACTGGAACTTGCTCCCGTTTTTCTCCAGCGTGCGTTCATCTTCAGCATGATACAAAATGATGAGACACTCTTATATCTACGAACATTTCAGCTTTTAGCAATCATCGTTGACTACTACCATTCACACGACAACTTTTGCAAATAACATAAGTACATATACTATTCTCCGGACTCTATATGAAAGAGCTACTCGAAGAACTGATACAGAACCCCCTCAAAGCAGACCGTACCACTTCAAAGGACGTACGTATGTGTGTAAGTGTATGTGTAGGTGAATTGAAAATCTGAAATCCTGTTATTCAAGAATGTAGAGGTGAACACTGATGGTAGGTGGTAGGAGTAAATTCTGTGCAAGAGTTGAGGAGTCTGAGCGGAATGAAAATGCGCAGCCAGCTGTATTACTTGAAGGGAAATGAGCCAAGTTAACCAAACACACATGTCCTAAGCAGGATTCCATGCTATTTGAAAAAAAAAATACGCAATGCCAAAAGGGAACACATGTTTGAACTAGGGTGAGAATACAACCATCCATGGTAGTTGACTGAGCACCTAAATGGCTAGAGCCAGGAGAAAAATCTGTACCCAAGTTCAAAAATGTTCTAGAAAGAGCAAAAGAGTGACAATAGGCTAAGGTGGGTAGAGCTGACATGGCAAGTGCGGAAGGCAAGTCAAAATTCCAACCGATATGAGCTTCCCAGATTATGCACCGCTCATTAACAGCTTTGCTCCTAATGAACTTGGATCGTTCACGTGGTGTGGTAGGATTTACGCTACGCGGATGCTATCTATATCGATTTGTTACGTAAATAGACTTACTCTCACAACTTTGTTTCCTCAACGTACTACTCTCAAGAAGAGGAAGAGATGGTATTGGACAACAGTTGTAAATATAGCGATCGATAATGGTCGAATGGTCAATTTTGATCAGTGATGAAAAGAGTAGGAATAGAGCTGTTAGAATGGCATCCTAACTTTCACAGAGGAAGGATTAGAACCGCGAGTGAGCCGACTGATTAAAAGGTATTAAAATTCAAAAAGCAGTAAGTGTAGGGATTCCAAACCATCATTTTCCTATGACATCAACCTTAACCACGGTGCATGTTCCCGCACATTGTTTGAGATCTACACATCACTAAGTGCTCATTAATGGGAAATCTGGCTGCTTTAGCTCTAACTCGTTGATCAACAGTCGAAAATGCACGGCGAGTCAATCTTTTTCATAGATTCTTACTCATGCTCATGTGCCGACTCGCGTTATCTGGTCCGAAAGAGTCACGCCGCTTGCCTAGTCACACGCACCTAGCCGCTTGAGGTGAAGGTGCGATGCTTTGGTGGCAAAGGTAGTCGTCTTTGGCTGCTTTCATAGTCTGCAAGCGAGCCGGCCGGGTGACTACTCGTCCGGCGGAATCGACCAAGGCTCAGTAAACAAGGGGCAAGCGCCGCCCCTGGTCGCTCGCGGGCCGGACGATGGACTACGAAAGCAGCCTTTGAGATCTTCCACAAAAGAGCCAGTGGATGGCTCGGGCTTCCCTCCTTTTTACGACAGACTTGAGATAATCGGCAAAATCCTTCTTCGTAAGCAATGATACTTTCGGAACATGAAACTTGACGAGGACTAACAGGGCAGGCAAGTAACATTCAGTATGTGCCGATGCTTATGCCAATTAAGACGTCTCGATTTGTTCCTGATCGCCTCGGGAATAATGACCCATTGAGAATAACTTGTGGGCAACCGAAGCCTTGGATGCTACTCTCAAAAGTTGTCGAGTGATAATAGTACCATTTTCAGATGTCGTTACCGATGAAACTTGTTCTCTCTACGGATAGATCATTATTTGAGAATCCCAGATTATTGGCGGTCAGATAAGTTTTGTCGCAAACGATATCGAGCAAAGATAGACAGTGATCCTTATTGATTCACAAACTTTGCTGGGTAGTGGTCGTGATCTATAGCAAGAAATAAACTAAATTTTCATCTGCTTACAATGAAGTGCCTTTAATCGCTGCACTCATCAAACGAAACGTATCAAACAGTCAAAGCTAGCTTGCAATTTATTAAGGCGTTAGGATTGATTGGTAAATGGCCCTGTCAACAATCGCCTCTCTTCACATTCCGAACCATCTGCTAAAGTGCCAAACCTCTACTGCTGACACAAAGGAGGTGGCAGACCCTGCGGCTTCTGCAATCTAAGGCTCCTTATCACTTCTTATCAGGTGCTAACACTCCTATAACCCATCATCAGTGTTCCCATTATGCAGCCTGTACCCCTTCCAAATTCGAGCGCTGTAGGGCAAGACGACATTTTTCGCTCGTGCCTCGTCCTTTTTGGAGGGAAAAGTCCGGTCCTACAACCCACCATGGAGCAGGCGCTATGGATTTCCGCCTAGACATTCATTTTACGCAAACTACCCTGTAGGCGGAGTCCGGTCCACACCAAAGGTGGCCCTATTTCACCGCCTCTACTCCTAACAAATTCGACTTCTCTAGGTCCAAGGGAACAGAAGTTATGAATTATCGGTCAAACACATACACACATACGCGCACACACATACACACACAACATACACGTACACACAGACAAGTTCACAGACACACTTACAAGGGAAGGATACTTGGTCGCAGTGGCCATTCAAGATGAGATGTATACCCCCGTAAGTGGTTTCAAACGCTGATCTCAAATCTTTGTTTCAAATCTGCTAACGATTCTGGAAACAAAGTTACGAGACCGGGGCCTCCCTGTATTATACCGCTGCGTTGAACGGATCTCCGAACCGAGCAAAGCACTTACCTGTGATACGGTGGCCGAGCGTGTAGCGTGGTGGACTGGTAAGCATGACATTAAGGTAGGTTCTTGATGCATGGGCTTGTTTTGCTTTTCTATGAAATGCGTCCTGAACGCTTGCAAAACCTTTTTGCGTTGGGTTTTCTCACAATATAGGACTCCGGGAAATAATAATCCAATAAAAATTTTTCTTACTACTACTGACCGAATATATACGCCTCTCTACCTTGAACAGTCAGGACGTTGTTTCGAAGTCTTCGGCAGATCCCCGTAATTACGGTAGGCATCGGTCGAATGACTGATCCGACCAGAGCCCTCTTTGGGAGGGTTACGGTCCACAGATTCTAGGAATAGTGCACGCGCTTCCAAAGCGGTGGTACAAGTTAACTGGCATTGTTGAAAAAATACTGTAAAACAATAGTTTATCGCTTTGTGTGCACATATGATCATTCGCTCATTCTTGAGGTGAACGTCCGTTCAAAGAGCTCTTTCATGAGGTAGACAGGGTAATGCGGTGGGGCATGGTACCATTGCTGTCCCCAAAACCCTGAATCCACCTATGAATTGTATTGAATTTGAAATTTTGAATTGAATGAATTTTCATGAAATATGAGCCTTCATTTTTGATTTGAAACGGTATCCAGTGAAAATGACTGTCGTGTCGAATTCGACTTCCTTTATTAATTTTATATTTTATCCTTCCATTTTATCCACTAATTTCCATAAGTAGGCAGACCGACCCGCTTGTTTTGCACCTGATAGTTGCGACTAATACAATAATGAATTACGAATAATGCGAATAATACATCGTAAGTTGTCAATAAAATTCGAAAGCTCATGCCCACTTTATCCCCGTAGACGGCGCTCTATCGTGATGATACACAACGTGTTTCTCATGCTCGAGAAAGTACGACTTCTTTTGAAACTCGAACTATAGAAGTCTACAGGCTCTTCAACCAGTGTCATAAAATTGGAGCTGATGTGCCAGATCACAAACTTGAGGGCTGCGTTTCACTTCGGAGCCTCTATATCCCCACAAACGTTGGAGGTTTCACTTGCAAAGCTACGCATCCATCGTCGCTGTCCTCATCAGGCGACAGCAGGGGATCATTGTGATCGTCTTTCACGAATTCGACTTCTTCGCAAAAGATAACGGGCTTGTTTGCATAGTATCAGTAAGTACGGTTTAAAACCACCACATTATCGCCTCTTGGATAGTGTTGGTGTCTACTTCATGCTACAAGAACAAAATCCCTACATCAGATATGATGACTCCACATTCGTACAGAGGATTCGCTGGTAACGTGTTGAGGAAGTTTGATCAGATGAATATTCGAAATCTTCCTCCTTGAAGCCTTTGAGGCTCATTTTAAGCAAATATTTAGAATTCCTCTTTTGCTCGAATGGAGCTCCTCCCTTATTCGGAGGGTTAGAGGCAAAAAACCAACAGATGCCCAACATTGAACCCAAAAAACGTTTTGCAAGCGTTTAGGACACATTTCATGAAAAAGAACGAGCGCATGCATCAAGGAGTCGAACCTTGATGTCATGCCTATCAGTCCACCACGCTACCCACTCGGCCACCGTTGCACGGTTTAGTGCTTTGCTCGGCTCGGTAATCCAATCAGTGGTATAACACATGGGAGGCATCGGCCCCATAACTTTGTTCCCAGAATCGTTTAGCAGATCTGGAACACAGATTTGAAATCAGCGTTCGGAANCATCTTGAATGGCCACTGCGACCAAGTATCCATCCCTTGTTAGAAGATTATATACAGTGAGAATGGAGTGCACAACTTTCTAAGAGCTTCTTATTCTGTCAAGCTCACTTTATGGAAACAAGTTCTAGCCAAAGAGAGATGCCCAGATGGGAAGTACATGCTATGCGATGTTGTGATGACCGCTGGACCAGGGCGATTACTACAAGCACTCTTGGAATGTCAATCGTACACCAGGACGGCTGCCAGTGCGATGGTCGCATTTCCTCACAAAAGCTCGGAACGGTAGGAATACTATGTCGAGTGTTTTTTGAGCAAGGAGGACTACTCTGGCTCGCGACAGAGACTAATGGGATCCATTCTGACGCCTGCTGATCAAATCGATGATCAACGGTACAACAAGTGGTACAGATAATACAGCACCATCGAAAATCATTTGCACGCAACGAAATTTCAATCGAAACGGGGAAGGCGTTCCTCATTAACTTAGTTATGTAACAAGCCGTGAACGTCGCCACAGCACAGCAAAGCTCGAAGTCATGACAAAAGGCTAACCTTTTCAGCACTTCTTGCAGCTCCTTCCTCAGTGGCGTGCATTCAGCGCAAGGTTTTGCTGGTGGTGGTGGGGCCGTGCAAACACCGATCGAAACCGTTTCCTTAGATGCTAACGTCTAAAATCAAATCTTAATCCAACCTAAATTGGAGATGTGAACAGAACCTAAGCAAGCGGATGTTCTCGGAGAATTCCGCTCACCTTTTCTGTGTCCGGTGGTGGCGACATCGAAGTACCCTGCGTTTTTGCTAGCCTAGTGCTTCCATTGTGGTGCGTGTAGGTGAATTGTGATGGAGAAGGAAGTGGAGGAACTGCCTGCAGCTTCTGAAAACGGCACCCTGTCCCGGCTGATTTCCATTTTGGTTATGACTTACTCTTGGCATTTTCGGCGAAGCCGAATAGTATCGTACTCGGTTTGATGTGTCACTATCTGACACGGCATATTCTCTGCCACGTCGTAAACTCGCAAAATCGCCCATACAGCCTGAAAAGCGAAAAGTGGCAAATATGGCATAAAAATTGACAAAATCCATGCTCTTCGAAAAGTTCCGAAACAGATCGGGATTACTTCAAGATCCAGAGAGAATTAATTTGAACGCAGGATCCCATTATCTACTACTGCTTGATACACAACCCATACCCCTTCACATTGCTAACCAGTAGGCAGTGTATCTTTTACATAGAACACATTGGCTGCTTTCAGTCCACCATTTGGCGAGCGACCGATTGCGCGACTGGTCGTGCGACCGGTCACGGACCTACCGAGCTAGCGACCGAGCGACCAGTCGCGTGANTGATCGCGCGGTCGGTCGAGGAGGCGGCACTAGCCATGGGCGCCGCCGAGCGATCGGACGGACCCAGTCAGTCGCGCGCCCGATCAGAGATTCAGTTTGCGTCAACAACAGAACATGAAAAGACCACCAGTTCATTTATAGTTGTTTGCATTGCCTCTACAAAAGCGGCGAAAAGGACACAAATGTTAACGGACACTACGCCTACGCCACGCCACTTGAGGACAGATTCTCGCCGTGCCATATCCCATCAGTATTACCATACTGCCGACTGTGTACCCCTGCCAGCTTGAGCGCTAAGGATTCATGGCAAAAGGATTTATTAGTTTCCGGGTCAAATATTTATTCTGCGCACGTCACGTCCTACCACCTGCCGTTTTTGTTCCCATGCTATCGCCTGTACCCCTACCGAATTTGAATGTTGCAGGTTTACGAGAACAGGAGTTACAAAACTCTCGATCGGACACACACACAAACATACAGACAAAACAGTAGACACACTAAGCGCTTCATATATGTACATATAGTAGGATGTTGCCCGTGGACGGGTAAAATGGGTAGTCCGACTGTCAGGGACCTCCCACTGGGGAGGGCCCTAAAGATTCGACTCCCTCATGCATGTGCTCGCTTTGCCTTTGCGTTTGCAAACGATTTCACGCTTCGCGTTTACTATCTGCAGGCTTCCTGTATTTATTAACTTATTTATTTATTCCTCAAAGCAACACACCCGGATCCAAAAGGGAGTGACAACATTTGAGCTACACTGGAACCGGAATGCGTTCCAAACATTGTTTTTCTCGCTCTCCATTCGTCCTTGAATATTGGTGAATTTCAAGTCCAGTAGACCGAGTGTTCCGAATTAGTCTGATGTCGACTGATTATGTTAATTTATGTGCCTGTAACTGTTAGGCAAAAACGGAAGGATCGACCTACCAGACTTTTGAGATTGGCCGAGAAGATGAGAGAGAATGGCGGAAATCGATATTAGGATCCCTTTCCACGACGACGATATTCACTGTCGTGGCTTCCGCCCGACTTATTAAAGGGCCACGCCTGATCGGGCGCGCAGGGGTCCCGGCGCGCACAGCGTATCGATGCCTGCGCGACGGCTATACCGACGCGTGCTCTGGCCTAACACCATCCGGCAGTGTGTCTCCATCGATCGTCGTAGCCGGCCGCCACTACCCGTCGTCCTGTCGTCGTACCGCTCGAGCCTGGAAGTGTGATGCAATCCGATGGGATGTGATATGATCAACTTGGGCATGGAAGCCCAAAGGTGCCGAGCGGTCCCGAGCCACGTCGCCTCCCTTCGTGAGATTAACGTACTGGGTTCGTACCACCTGAGACGTAGGTTGCTGGTTTTCATCGTAGTTTATTTGCTGACGTATTTCATGCTCCTTTTATATGTATATATGTATATAACAGGCATTTCCTTTTTACCAATTCTTTCCATTGTCGTATTAATATTTCCTTATTTATTGGCGTATCCATGAAGACTGCGTATAGTATTGTGTTAGTGGTTTAAGATCGTAGACGGTGATGCCGTGAAAGTTATATCTGGGTTGAACGTTGAGGTTAGGCTGTGGCAGGTTATCCCGGGTCATAGGAAGTAGCACGCGTAGGGTAGAGGTAGGAGTGCAGGAACAGCGTAGGGGCTGCTAGGGCCTAAGTAACATCCCGCGTGGCAAAGGGGGCGAGAGCGAGCGCAGCGTAAGACCCCGATCAGGCAATCACGCCGACGGCGACGCCGCTCCTAAGCGGCGAACACCGATGCCATCGTATAGCGAGGAGCAAGGCGTCACCGCCGGCGCGACATTCACCTTATCGCTTTGAAATCAACGAGGAAGGGTGTTACTCAGGGGAAGGGAGGGGGAGGGGGGAACGACTCCGTAACTTTGTTGCCAGTGCTTGGAATATTTGGAGAATGGTTTTGAGACCATCATTTGAAATTATCGATTACAGTAAACATCTCATCTTGAATGTCCACTATTATCCTCTCCTTGTGAAAGCCACCTAATCAACTGTCTGCCTGGAAAATCATAAGCACTATCGAATGAAGAAAGGAAGCCATAGTGCAAAACTGTGTTTTGCAGCATAGTCAAAGCAAACGCAGTAATAAGAGACGGGATGTTCATTTTGTTCCCGGCCAAAATCAGAATGACATATCTACTGCTGCTCAATATCAACATCAATCTATTTATCAGCAACTGGTCCCCACTCTGGAAACCACTCACCACCCACCATTATTTGTTCGCGGTCCCGATGCTGGCCGGTCGTCTAGTGACGGCTGTAGGCGCCACTTATAGGACTTTCCATTCAATGCATGCTGGTAAGGATGCTCCAAAATCGTCGGTTCCGCACGAAACTGAACAAAAAATACGATACTCATCTGTAAGAAAAGAAAAGAACGAAATCTTCGCGTTGCACAGTAAAGGAATAGTGGTGACAGGATAACACACAATAGTGACAATTTAAAAAACAAATAAATAATAAAATAAACAATAAAATTGGTCTGAGGTATGAGCTACAGCCTTCAACTTTCATTCGAAATCGCAGAGGCATATTGAACGCATATGTGGCCTATACGGTGGAGCGCCATTCAATTCCAATCAACGATCCCGTAGAGATGCAAAACTTGGTCGTTCTATGATGATATCGATCGTGGATTCGAACCCGGATCATGCGAAAGTGATAGCACCTCACTACCCACTACACTCCCTCCGAACAATTAATCTTTTTTGGTTCAGGAACGAGGTAGTGTAGTGGCAATGACCATAATATTACTATATGTATACTCGTCGTTGAATAATGGCGTCGAACATTTTTGTACATGCTTGGGTTATCCTAGGGTAATCCACGATCGGAGAAGATCTAGTAAAAACCATTCGCAGAATCTCGGTTAAGCATGAATACTTCCTTTCCCTAGACTTCTTCATGGCTCCCTCCGTTCAGTGAATCACGTCACCAACCTTCTAAGCACAAGAAAGTTTTTGAACATTATTTCGCTCATTCGAGGAATGGCCGCTCAAGTTTTCAGCTCTTTTTTCCTTTTCCTAGGCCTTTCTGATAGTGAATTTGGCAAAGGCCGTTTCTGTGATGTACTGCACTCAACGAACACTAAACTTCACTAAATTCATTAAGCTTCATTCACCTCATTACAAATCTACCCACAAGTACATGCACAAACTTACATCCACGTACACACTTTCATACGTTTTCACGCACACAACGCCCACAAACACACATATACACCAATTGGGCTACGCATGTAACGCGTGTATTAAATGTCGACGTTTCTGAGAAGAATTATAAACTGTTGATCTAAGCCCCGCCCATTTAATGTCAATCCCACACACTTCGAGGATTTGGTCACACTCGTTTCATCACCTGGATTTGGTCACACTCGTTTCATCACCTCTAACCACTTTTTTCCCGCGCTCTACAACGGCATGCCCAGCACTCATAAGGCCTTGCTCACTCTTTGTATTTTTTCTCTCGACGCTTTCGTTGAATCGAGTTATGAGTCTCTTGGTAAGTATCGCCCACTGCAAGAATGCTCACCCCCAGTAATTTTCCTTTATTTCAATTGTTGACCCATCTCTCTCCTTTTTACGCTTTTTTCCGGCGTCTGGACTGTTATGAGGAAGAATGAGAAGAATTTGCCCATGGCCCCGCCCAATTGTGGCACATGCCCGCCCCTTGGAGGCGGAGCTCCGCTAGGCTCACATGTGCTCTGTTGCACTTACCCTATGCTCAACCCATTTCGAACTTGACCAGAAAGACAGACAGACGCTAGCGCTTCATAAATAAAGCAGTTGGGGTATGCACGCTAACGCGCGCGTCACATTAATCGATTAATTAATCAATCGACTGATCAGGATACGCAGTGCTGCGATTTTGTAGTCAAAAGCAGCACTCGACGTAGAAGTTACTTTAATGATTGGCTCACAGAATTTCACTCTAAAGAAAAGTAAAAGGAGCTCATTCTATCGCTGCTAACCGTTGGATGTGCTCACCATCTTTATGAGCAAAGCCTCTTGAAAAAAGGCC